TATATAAATGTGATGATATCTAATCATATCTAGTCTTATATTTGATAACATGGTTTTTTTTATCGATAATCTTATATTCCCAATCGACTCTCAATTTATTACGAAATTTTTATCATGTATATATATATATCGCAACAAGATTCGAAACACATATTAAGCAATTACAAGCTTATTGAAATAATAATAGAGCGTCTCACCGTGCGCAATCTTATATTGCAAGTGTCGTGGACAAAAAATCATGGAAAAATGAACACAGATATTTTTCACGTTGCTCAATTCGCAGATTCGCGCAATTGTTCGTCATCGTCCACGAATGAGAGCGATAACTCGACTGAGCGATAAATATCGCTAGCGATAAATATCGTCGCTCGTGATATAAAAGAATATATTATCAAAACTGTCGCAAAACAGTGGAAATCATCTCTTTCCACCCAATTTCTTTTGCGAGGTTATAGAGACGAGGGGTCTGACGAAATCGACCTTGCGTCGCGTCACAACGGCCTAGTTGTGACAGCTTTTCGCAATGCCGCGTGCCAAAGATAAAGAGATCGCCGATTCGGTGAATTGCATCGCCAAGTGTTTACCTTCGAAACGATGCAAACATTAAAATTATGCACCAGTTAATGCGGCATCGATACCGCGCAACGATATTGTGATTGAAACGTTCCCCATTTTTCATACCGCAAATATGAAAAAATAATTATTTTCTTATTATTTCTCTTTCTTTTTCCCTTTTTTCTAATTATTTCCTTTTCTTTCCAAGCAGACTTTAATAAAAGATCATATAAAATAAATCATATAAACAATCATATAAAATAAAATCTCATTCAAATTTTCCGCTATTTGAGCTCCTATGTATCATGCGCTCCTAATACGTGAACGTAGCTCTTGAAATCCGAATTCGCGACTCATTTCAGTTTGATATGCTTTCCCCGTGAAAGGCGGGAACTTTGAATCGATAATCTCCTCCTAACCTCCTGATGAATCCTATTCCCCTGATAACTTTGACGATTTTTCGAAGGCATCGCGCGACAGCACGTGCTCCAGCTCTCGCCTAACCTCTTGTGCGATTGTTTTGAACAAGAGATGAATTTATCTGAATACAGAGATGACTCTGTATTATATGAAAAATAAAATAATATATAACGTTTAATGTACGTATATTATTACACGAATAAGACATATATATATATTCCAGACAACACAAAGTCCAAAATTGAGACATCTTTTGCAAAAATGTTCTTTAAAACATTTTAAAAATAATTGTCCTTTATCTTTTGTTGTTTATTATTTCACATTTCAAACTTATAATGTTTTATATTATTATGATGTCTCTATTATTCTTACAATCTTAATTTATTATATATTTTTCTTTTTTATTATATATTATTCTAAATCTATTTTTTTTTCAACTTTTAACAATTTGTAGCTTCACGGACTTTAATTATTTCTCGATGAATTTCTGTCGCAATTTTGGTAAAAGATTAGAATGAAAAAATTGTTATCTAAAATTTAAAAAAAACAAAATATCGCAAGAAGAACTGCGTTAAATTGAATGTGCTCTGTAAATCTCTTCACGGATCTGAATTTTCCAGACACACAGAATTAAAAAACCTCGTCTTTAGATATAAGACTGGAGTTGACATTTATAAATATTACTAGTTTAATCTTGACATTTTTTAATTTAAAATTTATTTTTTTATGTTTAACGTTTAATCTTTATATTTTCTGACCTAACATTTATTTTTTTAATATTTTAGCACTTTAAGATATAAATCTGCAGCGATTTTTTCAAAATATTTCTCGTTGTTTTCAGTGTACATATCTCTTGAAAAGATGAAGAGTCTCTCGATCCTGAAGATACTTGTCCGTGCGATTGAAGTTTGAAAAAAATCGCATTCATCCACTAATTTGGTGTGCAATCACGAAGTTTACTTTCCATTCTCGAATGAGGGCCGGGTTCTTCGAGGGTCGCGAGGATGGGAGCGAGCGAGCGGGCAGACGTCGCGGCGTTATCGCGCGGCGTGGATCTATCTATATGTTTCACCGTGATACGTATAAAATGTCACCGTGAGCGAGATTTTTGGCTCTTTGTTGAATGTACATCGCCGCGACGTCTGCCCGCTCGCTCCCATCCTACTGTCGATGATGGATCGACGACGCCGACGGATCTACGTCATGACGATTGTTCTGTGCTGCTGCATCTCGTTGGCGAATCCGACGTTCGTCAAGCCCGATGACAATCCCGACATCGAACTCACGACGGTGAGTGATTCTTCGTGGCTCTCTTTATAATACGATTGTGACATAATGCGCTTCGTTGTAACAACAGATTGTATCTTGAATGTCATGTTAAATTAGTTTGCGTAATTACCTACTCTTTTCATCGTAGTGTTTATCTTGGCATTTAGATGCATTCTTGGAGAAAAGAAAGTAAGATATGAATGGTAAATGATGTTTGAGAAGAGTACACAATCAAAGGAGAGAACAGGGGTATCTTGAAACAAGATGAAAATTATAAAAGTCCTCTACTATTTTGCAATTTTCGCAATAGTTAACAAGATATTAATTACTAAAAATCGCTGAATATTGGTTTTCAATCATTTTTTATTCAAATACTATCAACTTTACAGAAAAATTGTAAGAAACAAAAATTGTTTATTTTCTTCTCATAATGTTCTGAGAATTTTTTTAGAATTTTTTCAGAATTTTTTAAATAATATTTAAGTAAAAAATTATTGAAAATCAATCAACAATTTTTAGTAATTAATATCTTGTTAATTATTGCGAAAATTGCAAAATGGTAGAGAATTTTTCGACTTAATTTAGTCCCATCTATCTTCCTGTGAATTATTGCTATAGTCTCGCAGGATACTCTGTACATCTAATAATCGATATCTAATTGATGTATGAAATAAAAACGGACGAACTTTCCATATGCTCCAGCAAATGAATATGTATTCTTTTATTCACAGCCAGAATTAGTGACGAAATACGGATATTTCTTGGAGATTCACAATATCGTTACGAAGGACGGCTATGCTCTTCAACTACATCGAATACCGCGCGGCCAGGATGAGGAGGAAACAAAATTTAGAATAAAAACGCCGATACTCTTGGTGCACGGTCTAGGAGGCAGCTCCGCCGATTGGGTCCTTATGGGTCCTGGAAAGTCTTTAGGTGGATCCTTATTCATATTTATAGTCATGAAAAATATTAACAATATCAGTGCAAAAAGATAATCTCGATATTCGTTTAGATAAGATAATATAATAGAGAATTTTTTTCTAGCGTACATATTAGCCGATGAGGATTACGATGTGTGGCTTGGAAATAATAGGGGCAACATTTATTCGAGAAATCACACCTGGTTGTCGCCGACTGATCGAGATTTCTGGGATTTCAGGTAGCTAAAATGTTACAGAGGATTAATGGCAATTTTGTGACGAATAAGAAAAGAATATTAATTATTATATATAAAATTACATTTAAGACGAATAAGAGAAGAATATTAACACTAAACCTATCATGTCAAATGTCGCCCAAGTAGCATAGCAGCGCTTTATTAAGTTTTTTGGGCGCTGCACGGAGAAAAATAATTTTGCTGTTGTAGCAAACCTATCATTGCTACTGTATATTCATAATGGCAACGAAATTTAATTGATACAATCAGTTTTAGAAATTATTTGTTATTAGAGTAGAAGCTGTTTTGTTGCTAAAATAGAAAAAATTTGCTGTGTATTTGTCTTTAGAACCAAAGTTAATTTGCTGTTAAAATAAAATAATGTGTTCTTAGCAAATTTGTTTACTATTGAAGCAAAATTACTGCTGCTTATTCAAATCCATATTATGACAACAAAAGAAAAGACCCATACAGATCTTATGGAAAAATGTCTCTCGGTTAAATTGGAATTAAAGTATGTTGTTGTCCTCGTCGTCCTGAACAAAAGCCTCAATGGACATGACTCTCTAAATTCAATACTTTTCCGTCCAGAGACATTTAAAGTGAAAATCTATGGTTGTATTATGTTTCTTCATAAATATATGAATATCACTTTTTCTTGTCCTCTCTCTTTATATATATATGTATATATACGTATGTATGCATATTCATATGCGCGCGCGCGCGCGCGTGTGTGTGTGTGTGTGTGTATATATATGTATATATGTACCGAGTGTTATAGAAATAAGTGCAGTCGTAATAGTGTTCAGACAAAAGTTGTAGAGTTTGAAAAAATCTATTTACTGTTTTTATCAGTTTGATCTTAAGTGGCTTCACCGAGATAGTCGATTTTTTTTAATGGAACATCCTATAATACCGTCACTTTCGAATATTATAACACAAAAAATACTCAATAAAAAATAATTTTATTATAATGTTTTAAAAGCTCTCGACAATTCTCGAATAAAAAATAATGTTCCATTAAAAAAAAATCGACGTTGACCTGACCTTAGCGACGCCATCTAAGGTCAAACTGATAAGATCAGTAAATAGATTTTTTCGAGCCCTACAACTTTTGTCGGAATACTTTTACAATTGAACCTTATTCTGCGAAGATAAAAGGGTGATCTATATATACAAGATGTTTGGAAATTAATGATAAGTCTTTCGCACAGGAGCAGAATGGACTAAACTGAAAAGAAAAGTTCTCTATCATTTTCGCAATAATTAACAAGAAATTAATTGTTAAAAATTATCGAAAATTGGTCTTCAATAATTGTTACTCAAATATTATCAATATTACAAAAAAACTGCAAAAGATGAAAATTGTTTATTTTCTTCTCATAGAACTCTACGAATTTTTTCAGAATTTTTTATCAACTTTTTAACTATATTTTCTCATTTTTACCAAAGTGAAAAAATACGGTATTAAAAAATTCTGAAAAAATTTTTAGAATTCTATGAGAAGAAAATAAACAATTCTTTTCTCTATTTTTCTGTAAAGTTTTTCTGTAAAGTTGATAGTATTTGAGTAAAAAATTATTGAATATCAATTTTT